CAGTATAGCGGGCAATTCGTCGCTTGACTTTCATTAGCATTTCTAACGGCCACGCAGCTGCCACCGGCAACAGCAGCAACAACAGCAGCAGCAGTTGCAGTTGCCACTAAGCAACTGCTCTACTTCTGTTGTGGCTGGACACACAACAAAAATACCCACACACACACACACACACAAACCCAAGTCGTCAATCTTGACTTCAATCTGGTCCTTGGCAATTTGTCGCCCTCTTCGGATTGCATTTTTGATATTTTCCTATCGATTATATTCGATTGAACCTTCACTTGAAACATCAGCTCGTCAATAGCCGCCCAACGGTCGTAGTTAAGCTCGAGGTTTGGGACTAGGTTCTGGATTATTTCCAATCGAATACTGAGCACATCTTTTATATTTATCAGTTTCTCTTTTGTGGGATTAGCCAGACAAGTGATGGCTATTTCCAGCTCCTCTCGCAGATGGACTGCATGTCTGTCCACTCGTTTTGCAAGGATGTCCATTTTCTGTGACTGTTTCTCAGCTGGCTTTGCGCGTGGCAACTTCTTGTATGCCGCAAATTGGGCAAGTGCTCTCTCGAATGCTTCGTTGCAATAATGCCTGTGATCGCTGCAGCTCAATAGCTTTGAGTTATTTGCAACAAGCTCAGTTACAATTGGCTCAATCAAATTCAGGCTTGCACCTTGCTTCATCAGTTTGAGTAACTCTTCCCTGAGTATCTCCTCTTTAAAAAGCGCTATCTCCTTTTCCGTCAACGTATTTGATTTTATATCTTTTTTAATTATAGTTCTGTTGTTAGACTCGGAAAAGTCCTTGTCTTGTTCGAATCGCCAAGCAAACTGAATATTCTGTCGAGCAGATCATCAATTTATTCGAAATTTTCAGCAACTTATCTAAAGCTGCCTTCTTCAAGCTGCCGAGGGATTTACAGATTACTGAAAAGAGAAATGGATTTAATATCTTGCAGATGCAGGTACAGTGGCTCACAGTTCATTTCGGGCAGTGTCCAGCAAAAATGTTAATGGGGTTTCCCCACCCGCTAGGTCGGGTTATGTAAAAAAGTACCTGAAATTATGGGATACATATTATTTCGTGCAGTGGCATTATGGACACCTGGGTGCCATAAAACCCGGATTTTTTACGTCAGGTTGATTATTTTCGGAATAAGTAGACCAAGCGTTCGTAGTCAGTTTAGTGATATCCTCCACCAGCCAACAAGGACTATGGACAAACGGACTACCATTGAGCAACGGAATCTCATCCTGGAACATGTATGTCTTCTTAGAGTATCTATTTGTCATAACTATTATCATAATAAACTCAAATACATATTAAACGATCCTTCATCATATCAAACAATGTAATATTGAGATTGGATGACTTTTGAAAGTTGGATTTGGCATCATCAATTGCTTTATTTGCAAAGGTTTCTTCAAATATGACTAATTAAATATTCTTTTTACTGTAAGCAATGGCCATAAGTATTATGTTTATTGCAAACAATTAAAAAACATTTAACTGCAATTAGTTGCGTCTTTAAACTAAAGATGTGTGCTTAAAAAAATGTTAATTAGTCGGTTCGAAACACATTTTATTGCCGACTACCACAATTGGTAAGATTGAGTTGTTTTACAGGGTGTTTGTTCCAACTGATGTCGATTTATATATAAGATATATAAATATATATATACAAATGCAGAATTTGGACTTTAACTAAGCAAATATTATTCAGAAAAAAATAAAGAAGTTGCAAGAATGAAAGCAAAATTCTAGCCAAGTTTCAAGCTGCAACTGCAACTTGAGTAGCACTGCAAACACTATGCGTCGCTTCGATTGCTACTGTTGCAACAACTGTTGCTGTTGCTTTCGGTTGGTGAAATCATCGCACACTTTGAGGAGGCATGGGGCAGCTGCTGAATGGATACGTCGAGCCGGCGACTCTGGTGCATCGCAGTAGATCTGTGTGGCAACTGTCTATCGGCGTTGGTCCGTTTGCATTTGCGTTGTAAATATTTTTAATTGCTTTTGGAATTTTCTTCGTGTGCGCTTCATGGACATCTTTCATTTGAAGTTGCAGTTGCAGAGATCGTGTGGGTCGGCAAACTGTAACAAGCAGCAATAGCAGTTGATGTTGTTGTTGGTCCGGTTGATCGGCCTCTAACTGAGTATCTGAGTATCGCTGGCAACATGCTGCCAAAGTTGCTCAGCTGCCTCATGCTGCTGCTGCTGCTGCTGCTGCTGTTGCTGCTGCTGTTGCATGACAAGTCATTGGGAAAATGTTCGCTGCCTGACCGTTTGACATAATAACTGGCCACATTAGCAGCAATTGGCATTAGCCAATTAACTTTGTTGTTGCTTGTTGTTGCTTCTTTGTTGCTCTGCTGGCTGCTTTCCACCACCTGTCACGCTTTTCCTTATGCAGCCGCATTCATTGACACCTGCAATTGTTGTCGGCGCAAACAGCAACCAGCAACATGGGTCGCTGTTGCTGCTGTCGTGTTCATGTTGTTGATTGGCAATCAATTTGTTGTCAGTTTTTATGATTCGTAGTGCGTCAAATGCAACTAACTGTTTTTTGAGATTTATTATGTTGTTGCCACCGACTGACGAATCTTGTTTAATGTTGCTGCTGCTGCTGCTGACAACAACAACAGCAACATGGCCTTTAGCAAGATTGTTGTCGTTGTCGTTTTGCATATCTCAGCTGAAAGTTGCTGCAAATTGCTGATGAAGATGCGAACTACAGCAACAGCAACAACGACAACAACAACAGCAATATGTGGGTGTCAGCAGCAGCCACCAAGTTGGCCTCAGCAGCAACAGCTGCTGACACAATGTCAAAGTCTTTCTGTCAGTCAGTCTGTCTGTCCGTCTGTCTGTTTGTTGTCTACTATTGAGTAGACATATGGCCAAGATAAGCGGCATAATTATGCAAATTTGTTATAATAATCAACAGCAGCAATAGCAGCAGCAACAACAACTCTGACGGCAACAGCAACATTTCATGGGTGACTTAAATGCCGACAACGCCAATCGCCATTTGACGTTAGAATTTACGATTACAACAATAAGTTCAACAGTTCTGTTATATTTATTGCCTTTGTACTCTCAACTTAAATTAAATTGAAGTTGCGGAAATTGCTGCTTGATCTATAATTAAACTGTTCAAAGTTAACTGTTGATGTCGATGAAAAAGGAGAATCAATTCAGTAATGAAAAATGTTGGCTTAGATTGTCTATTGTTCAAAAAACAACATAAGCCCTAAAAGCCATATTGCTGTTGCTGTTGCTGTTCCACTGGCAACAGTTGCTAGTTGTGTAAGCAATATGCAAAGCAAAACTGGCGATTACTGGCTGACTAAACAAAGCGTTCATAAATTGCTGGCTGGCTTTAGACAGACAACAGACTCGTAATAAATATGGCACATAAGAAGCCGACTTGCAAAAAAATTTGAATACAAACATTGACGAGAGTTGTCTGATTTTGGAGTTGCAGCAGCAGCAGTGGCAGCAGCAGCAACAAAATCAACTGGAGGCAGCTACAAATCAATTGCGGGCAGCAGTCACAACAATCACATTGAGAGGCGATCAAGTTGGCAAGGCTAGGTGCTCAGTCAGGTTGCAGTTGCAAGATCAGACAAGATCGATGGTACGCATGCATAAATGCCTCCATAATCATTTCGTTGTTCGAAATTTAGACGTCACTTAACTGTCAGCCAGAGACGAACTGGACGACGACCTGCAGACAGAACACAGCAGCAACAACAACAATAACAACAACAACAATAGTCGCTACAATACGCGGGCCAGATCATGTCCATATTTGCATTTTTGAAATGACACATGGAAATTTTTGAAAGCGGAGCAAAAACCGAAACGTTGCCAACAGATTGACAGCAGCTGCAACACGCAGACGGAATGCTAAGCGAAAGTCGTGCACAAATTCAAAAAAAAAAAACTCGCCAACATATGGATTTGGATATGCTACAAATCTATATGCTATATATGTACATGTATATGTATGTGTGTATATACAAAGAAACGTTCGCTGTTTGCCGCAAGAGATAATTGCTGTCGCATATTTTCAGCATTCAGCGTCCACTTGTCGCAAACGGCTGCAGCTAACCAACCAACCGGCTGCCAGCCATGCAACATGTGTTGCCAAGCTGCCATATTTGTGGCAACATTTTGCAATCGTCCGGCAGTGCAAATATTTGGAAATTTCGCTGATAGCCGGCTTGCTTTATGAGCCATAATACGCATATCGGCAAACGCATTTCGCATTTATTTGCGCCATTTGAGACACTGTGCGATGCCGTTACCGGTGCCGCTCAAGTTCAATGTCTGGAACGACCAGAGAGAGAGTGAGAGAGAGAGCGTAAGAGAGAGAGCAATGACGCCAACGCCAAAATAGGCCAGAGAGCGACAAGCCAGAGAGAGAGCACAACAAAATATTTACAGCAAAAAGCAATGAGACAAGAACGAAAACAAGCAAGAATAATAATAGAGATAACGGAACCGCTAAAACACCCCGTAGCCAATTCAATATTCAAATGGAAACGAGCCTAAACTGACATCTCAAATTGCCAGCAACGACTAATAAATGCACTATTGGGTATGCATTAGCTTTTAATTTTTATTCGCATACTTCTACATGTGGAATTGCCATTAAATGAATAAATGTATAAAAGCAAGAGCATTTTAATTTGTTTATTAAGAGCATAAATTACCTGTTATCTATAATATTCCAATTTAATCTTCATTCACACTTTATTCACTCACTAAAATAAATTAACTTTTTGTTTATATTGTGACATAAACGCAAAAAGACAATATTCTGTGTTGGTATTTTATGCCATCTTTGGAGAGGGTGTCTATGTGTGTGTGTGTGTGTGTGCGTTTGCGCGTCTGTGGGTGAGAGAGAGAGAGAGGCCGGTCATTTTGTGTGGCTCTCCCGCTCTGGATGATGATGGGCTGGCTGCATTGTTGCTGTTGCTGTCGTTTTCAGTCGGTTCGCTGATAAAGAAGCAGGCACATGGACATGCACAGGTTGATCGTCGAGGTTAGGCAACGTCCCGCACTGTGGGATGCCACACATCCGGAGCACGCCAATCGAGCGGAGACACAGCGACAGTGGCGCAACGTTGCCGACGCACTGGGCGCCAAAGGTGAGTCAGCCGTTAAGCAGCTAAACTGCTAAACTAAACCAAACTGTGCAGCTCTCATTCACTCTCTTTGCCTCTCTCTCTCTCGCTCTCTCTCGTTCGCTCTTTTGCACAGTGGAACTGTGTCGCAGCAAGTGGAAAAACTTACGCTGTAGCTATCGCCGTCAGCAGCATCGCAGGCAAAACACCCAACAACAACAACTACAACAACAACAAGCGCAGGCATCTCCATCCCATCAGTGGCCCTATGCGGAGGCGATGAGCTTCTTGGACGGACGTCGCCTGCGCACGGATAGCAGCAACAATGAGGATGAAGACTGTGAACAGAGCACCATCGAGCCCATGGTGTTCAAGGAGGAGGAGTCCTTGCCACCCGATCCAATGGAGGCGGACAATGATGCGTTGATGCAACAATTCCAGAGCATGGCTACGCCGCAAGCGTTGCGTCGTCTCTCGCACAGCATCTCATTGGCCTCGGCTGCTGCCGAGGAGCAAGTGGTGCCCAAAATGGAGGCGACCAGTGTTGGACAGGAACAGGCACAGACACAGGCCCAGGCACAGGCACAGGGCACGGCATTGGCTGCTGCGGCGGCAAGTAGTTGCCAGTGTGCGAAACGTGTCGATGAGCAGGTGAATTTCCTCGAGAATCTGGAGCGTGAGGAGCAGCAACTGATGCAGTCGACCAGCCAGGATTTGGCACGTTGCAAGAATATACTGCATGTGGGCGATTCGGATTACAATTTTCTCATCAGTTTCTTGCCGATGATGAAGCAAATGTCATCGCTGCAGAATGTTGCATTTCGCGCCAAGATGGGTGAGCTGCTGCTGCACACAATGCAACAATCACAAATGCAACAACAGCAGCAACAGCAGCAGCAGCAGCAACAACAACAGCAACAACAACAGGAGCCGATGCAGCAGCAACCGTCGCAAATGTTGTTGAACCAACAGCAGATGGCCTTGGACCAGGCCCAACAACAACAGCAACAACAACTCAACAACGGCAACTAACCTCCATTCTCACGTTCTCACAGACCAATTGAGAGAGGGCCACAGCAAGAGAGAGCGAGAGAGAGAGAGAGAGAGAGAGAATTGAGCGAGTTATTAGCGAATCAATGCGCCTGCTCACTGCACACTGGAAAGCAAGCAATTTATGTATTGAACATGAAAACATTCTTAACCACATCTGTTTGCCACGAATTTTATAATAATAGTCGTATCGATTTCTGTATTTAAATGTCCTTGAAATAATCCAAATATATAAATAAACTTATTGACGAGAGGATTCTATTTGAATAACAATGAATAGAAAATCCACGAACAATTTAAATGTATTTCAAAGTGACCTTCTTAAGTCCCAGATTCCTTTTTTTTTTAGGAAGTCATCGAAAGTCAATGAAAAATATTTACGATTTTTAATCTGAGAAGAAAAATCTTGGTAACCTAATCTGATCCCAAATTGTGCTTGACTTTTAGTGTTTCACTTGTCTCCATTGATGTTGTCAGTTGGGTTGGAATTGACACATCAACGCACCCTTAACTAGATATAAAGATCCCAGATCCTAGCTGAGAATAGTGTTAACCCTTAAGTACAAAAAGGGTGCGTGAGATAATTGCTGATCTGAGTAACAAAGGATAAAAAGGAGCTGGTCTTACATGTGTTTCAAATTGTTTTACTTTGATCTGTGATCTTTAGCAGATTTACAGTGAGAAAATGAATACATTTGAAAAATGCGTCAGAATTTAAATAAGAAAATTAATTATTAAATATTGAATAATCTATGCCATATGTTAGATGGGTGTGTTTGCTTCTCTACTTAACTGTAAAGCATATCTGTCATATTTATTTGAGACACAGCTGTAAGATTTCTAGCTCTGATCAATTGTATTTTCAGCTCTGATCTCACTTGGCCGCTGGCTGCTGGCTGCTGGCTGCTGGCTGCATCATTCCAGCTCGTAGAAAGGGGAGAAGATAGGCGCTTTATGTGAGTATTTATATTTATGTGGGCGTTCAGCACAGCTGCACATTGGAGCTCTGGGTTCGTTGTAATCTTGCTTCTAGGCGGCCCACACACAACCACACACACACACACACACACACATACACTTGCAACTGGCGAGCATATCAATAAATTACAGTAGAATGAACCCCATCCCAACGGCAACGGCGGTGGTCCTGCGTTAAAAGCCAAGTCCAAAACTAAACATGGCCATAAAAGCGACTACAAAACAAACAACAACAACAACAGCAACAACAACAACATTAACAACTGGCCAGATTGGAGAGGTCGCCCGAGAAATCAACGCAGCTGCGGATGACGAATCGAAATTGACATTGAACTGAAGCCGAGGCGACAACGTTGACGTCGACAGCGAAGTCGACGTCGACGTCGAAGTCGTTGCTGGATGTTGAACATTATGTGCTGAACTTGTTGCGGCCAAGTTGCCAGTTGGCCTGGTCGGGCCTGGCTTGGCTTGGCTTGGCTTGGCTTTGCCTGCCTTATTCAAAATCCACTTACAACGAAAATAATAAAAAACCAGTAAACTGTAAAGGTAAACAATACAAAAAGCGGGCCAAAAAGTTTAAGGTGTGTTCTTGAGCTTGAACGCTGCTGCTGCTGCTGCTGCTGCTGCTGTTGCTGCTGCTGCTGCTGCTGTTGCAGTGATTGGAGCACTCAACACAGCTAACTGGGCATAAAATCATAGCCGAGGGTCTCATAACAAAATATACACTTTAATAATTTCTCTATTTGAGTTAATACTTTCCCAAAACTAGAAATGCTTATCCTTAATCAATAATACCAAAAAAACATCTTCTTTCTCAAAAGTAAGTAGAAAAGTTGATCAAATATTTAAAATGTGTAGAAATGTTAAGAAAGTTACAGATTGGCTAAGAAAGTATTATTTATTATTGCTGTTTTTGGAAACTAATTTATACATTTAATTTATTATTTTATTTTTATATTTTTCCTTGGCATTGATTAGCTCTGTTTTTTATGAGAAAAGTGCTGAAGAAGATGTGCTGCATTTGTTGGCCAATTTCAAATAAGCTCATGTTTTTGCTCAGTGTATGAGCAATGGCAATTAAGCACTGCCAAACTGCACACTGGGCCAAGAATCGAATGCAAATTGACATTTGTCACTCGAACGTGCCCAGTCGGCAGCAAATTCCAGCACGAGCTGCTGTTGCTGCTGCTATTGCTGCTGCTGCTGCTGTTGCAGCAACATGTGTGCACATTCCACATGCAAATGGCCATTTCCATTTCCATGGCCAAGTCGGCAAACGGGCCACTTTCAACTGTTGCCGCGTTCGTTGCTTAAACCAAAGTTAAACATTCCTTTTAACATATTATTTTTTTGACGGATTTTCTCACCATTTTGCTAATCCCCAACAGAAAAACAAACAGATTGCGAGTGGGAGAGAGAGAGAGAGGGAGTCTGGGCCAATCAAGCAGGCTTAAATGTGTTAATGATTTTAGCCGCAACAACAAAATTGTTTATTACCTTTGCCTCATTGTTGTTGCTGCTCCTTTTTTTGTTCTCTTGCCGACAAATGCAAATTTTGGTTTCTATTCTGTTCACGGCAAATATTTGTATAGATTTTCACCGCTCATCCTGAGATGTGCCGCAAGTGCTGCATTCTGGCACACAGGTGTTAAAAATCGCAGCTCATTGTTAATGCGTGTGTTGCCATTGTTGTTGCACTTGCAGTTGCAGTTGCACTGCCATTGGTTGTTGCTGTTGCAGTTGCTGTTGCAGTTGTAGTCGCTTCATGGCTCTCTCTTTCCCGTTCGCTTTGCATATTGCGGAATTTCCAGAATCTGGTCGATTCATCGAAAGGGTTTCCGAAAAACCACCGCTGACACCTCATCTAACACCTTTTCATATGGCCCAACAACAAAAGACACGCAACAGGTGCGTTTTTGCATCTTGGCTCGAACAGATGCTTTGCATTTGAATAGATTTGAGAACACATTTGAGCTGGTGAATGTGCCACAAGTGCACTTGCTACAATTGGATGCGCTAGACATGAATTGCAATAGTTCGGCAAGTATGAAACTATGAGAAATATTTAATAGATTCACAGAGCAACTAACTAAAATGAGTGAAAATTGTTTGTGCAATTTGTTTCTCAAACAGTCAGAATTCTCAATGAGTTTATTGATCTCTGTACAGCTTTTCTAGATAGCTGAAGAGAATTACCACAATTTCTACAAAATATTCATATTCCATTTTATGCAAAACAATAATTCGAATTTCATAATTGGTGTACAACTTGCTCTTGAGGAGATCTCAATTTCCACAACATACAAATTTTCACAAAGTTTGTAAAATATTTGATTTTAAATTATTGCATCGAAGCCAAAACTTATACTTAAGCTAATCAGCAAACATATTTGCAAAACAGTCGGTGATTAATTGGATGTATTTTTAATGCGTTGCATGTTCAGTTCAGCTTATATTGGCCAACACCTCGGGAGCAATTCCCACAGCAGCAATAATGATCGGTTTCTCAACATTTCGCTAATGCAGCGCTCAATCATTGAACATAATCTCAGGGAGCACTAAAGAGCCAACCGACTCATACCAAATCCAACCGAACCAATCAAAACAGGCACTTAACATTTGGTAACCCAAAACTCAACATAAAAAAAACGTTCGGCATCGTTAACTGAAAACAAAAGAAAAACAACAACAACAACGAATTACGCTGAGTCATTTCATGTCCGAAAAATATTCTGTGTTCTGTTCTGAGCTGTGCTGTGTGTGTTGTGTGTGCTTGCAACGCCCCCGCCCGCCCCAACTCCATGCCCCCATCCTCTTAACAATCAACTGCCAACTGCTTCACGAGTCTCCACCAGCCTCACCCCTCCCCGCCCCGGCTGCACCCGCTGAGCAATCAATGCTGTATGACAGCTAGGTTAACCGTCGATCCTACGCGCTTCCTCTTGATTTCGTTAAGTAAATCTCCAACATGGCCAACATGGGCAACCTTCACGTCGTCATCGTCATCGTCGTCGCCGTCGCCATATGTGTCTGTCTGTCTGTCCGTCTGCCCAGTTTTTCATGGCGAGATCATGATCATGGCTTTAACTGGCTCTTGGCTCTTGGCTCTCAAAAGGCACAAAAGTACGTGTGTATTTTTAACTTGACTTTGTTGCTCTTGGCGTTTATTGTTGCTGTATATATGTATATATATATATATGTATATATGTGTATATATGTCTCGGGCCCAGACGACAGTCAGAGTCAGCGTTACTCTTGTTGTTGTTGCTGTTGTTGTTGGAGCTCTTTAGGGGCCACGCCGCGACTGCGTTTTGCGTCTGCGTCGGTTTTCTTTATTTTTTTCTTTTAAACGCTTTTAAACACCTGAGAAACTTGCTTTTTAATGTGCGCACATGTGTTCGGCTCACGATCATCATCATCAACAACATGATGATCATTATCATCATGTTGATGATGTGCAAGTCTAGGCTCCAACCTCTTCCACTGACTCTCGACTCAGCCTCGTTTGTGCGATGATGAAGCAAATATAACAAATCTCAAAGTTATCAACCCGACACGTCTTTGACGGCACTGAGAGAAAACGCACCCCTCTTTTAGGCTGAGCTAGACGCAATATTTATACACTAACTGAAAAACAAACAAATCTTTGAGTAAGAAGCGTAATCAGTGTAAAAACACGTAATATTATCGGAATACTACAAAACAAACTCAGAACAAAGAAGGAAAATATCTGAAAGCAAGGGCAAATGCACTTAAAACATATAATAAATAATATTGACAAATTAATAAGAAAACAATCGCAGAACAAATTTTGAAAAATTATATAGGAAATTCCATGAAGTTATTAGAAATGATCGGGAAAAATAATCAGAATAAGTTAGGAACTCGGGCTTAAGCTGAATATACATTTTAATAAGTCATGCGAAAACTTGTTTTAATATTATTAAATGCATTTAATGTGAAGACGAACTGCATTTTAGGCATTAGATATTGAGAGAAATATTAAATATAATTTAGCTGCAATTAAAAAATTAGTTCATTTAAGAAAAATAATTATGTTTCTTAAGTAATTAATTACAATAATAAATACTTGGCTTTCTGGCACACTGAAGACGCACTTTTAATAATTAAAAAATGCCCAACTTGACTCGGTTTCAATCCAAGTACTGATCCACATTTCGCTCAGTGTATGTCGTTTTGCTTTGCGCCTGCGCCACGCAGCTGAGTAAATCAATTGACGCGCACAATTCTAGGAATTTGGCTCTTGAGCTAGAGTATACCCCCAGGCCTCCTAGCCCCCGCTCCCCTGCCACCCTTCCCCTGCTTG